TTAGCAAGGTGTCACCATTAGTGTTAGCTACAGATAGCAGAAAGCTAAAATATAACCAATATTTCCTCTCCAATGGCTGTTTCTAATACAGTTTACGGGAGATTACATTATTGTCTTTCTAAGAGCTGTAACAACTAGTTTGCAGAAGGCTAAACTTTTGGCAAGATTTTCTCTCCATCTCTTCAATAGCTGAAACATCTATTGTTAGCATCATGTCAAAACGCTTTGGAGGTCGACAACAATGCAAAGTAAACTGTCCTTTTTAAAGAAATGCAGCTTTTTAAAATTCAATAAAAGGAAGATAATCTAAGAGGCAGGCGACACGCAGTGGATTAGTGTGTTGGTGTTCGGATCAGGAGAGCACAGGTTCAAACCCCGCTGCAGTCAGCGTGTTGTTGTGTACCTGGGCAAGACACTTCACCCCAAATTGCTCCTGTGGGGATTGTCCACAGTGTTGAGTATTTAAGTATCTTTGGATAAAAGCGTCTAACAAGTAACATGTAATGTAAGAACTGGTATAGATTGTAGGTAACAGTGGTAGGCTCAACTTAAATAAACTTTAACTCACTGTGACAAATCAACAAGGTCATTTGGGAGGACAGAGAAATAAAGAAGGACAGTGAACAATTAAAAAACTTTAATTAAAATAAAGTCCTAGTAAAAAGTTTAATTAGCACCTCAATATAACATTGTTTTATGCAGACTTTTTGCAGAGTGTAAGTAAGGTCGGGGAACTGGACATGTTTACGGTTAAGATTATTTATGTTATTTGTTATTTATCCATAAAAGGTGCAAATGTACTGTAGTGTTGTTAGGACATTATTTTCAGTAGTTTATTCATCGAGCAATACTGGGGAGTAGAGAGAATAATATTAACCCTTCACTTATGGTAATTCAGCTAACACTGCAAACACTGCTACAAAGAGGCCATTTCGTTGAATACCATGAAGCAGAATTTGACCATTTTAGACTAAACTAAAATCACTAATAGATTATTGAGCTATATATGAAATGGCATCATCATGTAGTAGTTAATAGTTTGCTTTGGAGACAACATGACAACCATTTTATCTGTCTGATGTCACGATAAGCCTACTTTTATCTGGTATTAGAAAACAGAGCAAATCAATACGATTAAGTTAATATTCTCATAAAAACAATGGGTGAAGTGATGATGTGGGAAATAGATCCCCTTAAACACAAGTCCAAGTATAAATGTCACTTGTTCTGTAGTTAACCTCAGATGTTCAGTGTCTTTCTCTACATTTGATTGAATTCCTACATTTGTTTTGGTTCCACAGCCGTTCAGTGATTATATTAAATAAATCATTTCCAAGTTAGCAAATTACATTACATGTCATTTGTCACTTGTTAGACGCTTTTTATCCAAATAGCTGTTGATTTACTAAAGGATGCCAGTGTTGCTCCATGCCCAGTATAGTTTTTGGGCAAAGAAAGGAGAGACTACAACTAGTATGAACAGTTTTACCCAAATCCTCTTTGTAGCCGTAGCCTCAGATTGCTTTTTTCTATTAGAATAGAATAGAATTCCTTTATTGTCATCGCACCAGGTACAACGACATTTTAAAAAGCAATCCTCGCAGTGCATTTCCACATAATACGAAAAATATATACAGTATATCCATATACACACATAAACATATGCTCCCACATCCATACCAACATGCATACATGCCCGCACACAATTTAAATACAGTTTACAATATAAAAAACACAGGGATGATATTTGGCATCTGTGATGTCGATCAGTTAATACATTAATAAAACTATTAAAAAGTAGTGCAGTTGCAAGTTGTAACTGTGTGTGTGCTAGTTCAGCGTTTGACGGTGTTCAGTTCTCGTATGGCTCTGGGGTAGAAACGGTTTTTCAGCCGGTTTGTCCTTGATTTAACCTCACCTGTTTTTTGATGATTATGAGTGTGGTTTCATTTGATTAAATGACCGTACCCTGTCCATAGCGTCTATCGTGGAGGGACTAATGAGTTAAGGAACAGGAGTCTCGAGGAAAAAAAGAAGCAACTGGTTCACAATAAAGACATTGAGACCTCCATCCGTATTATCCTTTAGCCTATAACATATAAGGACATCAATTCCCCTTTCTTTTACAGCCTTAGGTTTGAAACTGGAGAACCTGAAGAAATGATAAGCCAGTAAACAAGGTGGTACACCAGGATTCAAACCCAGGATCTAGTTGATGTGTACTTTACGTGATATAGCACCTAACAGGTGGTTCCGCCTGCCGCGCTCAAGACATTAACACCTATACCAGCTTCCAACACACAGTTACAAGGACACTGAAACCAATACACCTTAAAAGAGGAACAAGTATTGACATACCAAAAGTTCGTAGGACTATAATGAACATCGCTGTGGGCTTGTCAAAATTCAAAATCCTCCAACAGGATGGACAGCGATGTTGGCGTGAGGATGCTGGTTTAGTCAGGACACACATCAAGGAAGCGACTATTATAGCAAATAGTTTCACACAGTGAGTAACAGAAGGTGACTTCTGCTCTTTGAAAGACTCTCAAAGAATCTGAGATAGCAGCGTAGGTTTTGGCTGGAAACTAATTTTGCTTAAAAGCAGGAACTCTGAGACAGAATGTATTAAGTTCTGTCAGGACTCGCAATGTCACTTTTTGAAATTGTATCAAGCAAAGAATCAAAGATATCTGACAGCTCAATTCTGTCTGACTCCACCCACCACAGATTTA